CAATCTTTGCTGCCTCCATCCTGCCTGAGGAGCTCAGTCTGAGAGAAGGAACCATCGAGATCTGGGGAGCTCCACTTGCCTCCACTTGCCGGCCATCTGCCTCCCACACTCCTTTCCACACCACAGAGACCCTAGGGAGGGATCTCATGACAAGACCTGAGGCAGCTGAACAGGAGACCTTGGGGAGCTCATCCCACCTCCTGAGGATGGAGAACAAGGGGTCCTGGATCCCACTCTCATGTGTAAGTTCTCCTGAGCACTACTTGTCTGCCACTTGGCCCAAGCTCCAACTTCTCCAGTTTTGAAGTTTTGTTTTTTTGAATCTGTATAATGGGAAGAAACATTTTATAGCATCCTACATTCTTCCCAACCCTGCTTTTAAAGTATAAATGCTCTAACATGCTGTATTAGTTTGCTATTGCTGTATAAGGAAAATTACCCCACAACTTAGTGGTTTAAAACAGCCAATTTTTTCTCATACTTTATCTGTGTCAGGAATATGAGTGTGGCTTACCATGGTCCTCTGGCTCAAGGTCTCATAACTGCAGTCAGATCTCTTGGCTGCAGTCAAGGTGTCAGCCAGGGCTACTCTCAACTCAAGGCTTCACTGGGGGATGGAGATCTGCTTCCATGCTCACTTCCATGGCTATTGACAGGACTCAGATCCTTGCAAGTCACTGATTGAAGACACCAGTTCCCTGTTTCATGGGTTTTTCCATAGGGCAGCCTACAACATGGCAGCTGATTTTCCTCGAAAGAAGCAAGAGAATGATAAAGGATGAAAAAGGCAGAAGTCACAGACTTTTAGAGACCTAATTTTGGAAGTGGCATCCCATCACTTTTGCAATCTTCTAATCATTTGGAACTGAGTCACTAAGTACAGCCACACTCAAGGGAAAGAGATTGCACAAGGACGTGAATTCCAGGAGGCGGGATCATTGAGAGCCATCTTAAACACAGTCTACTACATATGCCAAAAATCTTAGAATCATCTTTGACACTCTTTTCTCTCATACCCCACATCCAACTGACACCCCACATCTTATCATCTCTAAATTCTAAATGGACCCAGACTCCAGTCACTTCCCACCAGCTCCATGGCTACCGCCTTGGTCTAAGTCATCGTTATCACTCACGTGGATTATTGCCATAGTCTCCTAACTCTGGGCTCCCTGCTTCCACCTGTAGACACCTCAGGTTATTCTCCTCAGTGCAACCAGAGGGGTCCCATCACTCTTCAAACCCAACAGTGCATTCATATCTCAGAGTAAAGCCAAGGAGATCAGTAATGATCTACGATAGCAACCTGAGTTGCCCCACCTCTCTGACTCCATCTCCTACCATTTTCTCACTTGCACACTGGCCTCTGGCCACAATGGGCCCTTGACTTTCACAGTCCTCCCTCACGGACTTTGCCTTTCCTGTCCTCTCTTCCTGGAATGCTCTTCTCCAGATGTCTTCATAGATCACTCCTTCACTGCTTTCAAGTCTTTACCTGAACATATTATTTTTAAAAGACTCTCCAACTGCCCTATATAAAAGAGTCCCCACAAGCCTAGCATTCCCATCCTCTTTACACTGCCATATGTTTCTCAAAGCAATCTCACAGTCTGACATTCTATGTATTTACTTGATTGTTTATTACATGGCCCCACTCACGTGTATGTTAGCTCCTTGGGGAAAAGGGTATGGCTTTTTTTTTCAGTGTTATGTCCTCGCTGTCTAGAACAGTGCCTGGAAATAACCAGACACATAATAAAGACTTGCTGAGTGAATGACTGGATGCTTCATTCAGGACTTTGGTTACTGTTTTCAATATAAACTAGTTAGAATTCAAAAACTTTCTCCATAAGTCACCTGGCTCGGGAATTCAAAAGCCTTAGCTCTGCAACCTACTGCATTGCCTTTGAGTTTAAAAGACCCACTCAGGAGCTCAACCACCTCTTTGTTCTCAGCTATGTCCACCCTCGCCCTTAGTAATGACACTTGAGTCTCAGGCTCTAATTCTAATGGAAGCTCAGGGGAATGGTCTGTATATACAATGATGGAAATGTATGGTTGTCTTATATCCCCAAACCTTAACCCATCCCACAAGCATGAGGTTTCCTCCCCTTTCCTTTCTGTCATATCTACCAGAGCTTACCCAAGAGCCAGGCACCAGCAATAGAGACATCTGAGATGTCTGCATTTTTGTCCCCCAAAAACATTCATCCAGGGGAACTTCCAATACTAAGAGTAGAGGCCAGCCCTGACCAAGTGGAGTCAAGGATGAGGGTGCTGTGAGGCCACCACTGTGGTTTAGTTAATAAGTGTTAGGCTCCCAGGGCTTCCAGGAATGGAGAAGCTCCAAGAAGGAAGAAAGGGGGAAGAGGGCAGCTGTGAAATGCCAGAAAAGGTAGGCATCCTGTGGCTCTAATGCTTCTGGGGGGAGCCAGACCACAGACTGACACCTGGAGTCATTGGACACCCACTTATTATGAATCCACTAGCCATCCCCCCGGGGTTCAAAAACACCTGTTGAACATTCTCAGTGGGAACGGTGCAGATCCAACCGCTGTTCTTATTGAGGTATATGCTCTAGCTCTAGTGGGCAAGGCAAACATGGAACATAAATCTGTGATTACAAATTCTGATGAGTTATTATAGGTACTGTAGGTTTATCCATAATAAGGAGGAGAAAGGAGCGGACATCCCCAGTGCAAAGAAGAAAGGGAGGAGTATGGGAGTTTGAGTCACTGCAGAAACACTAGTGTAGCTGAGCCCAAATATGAGTGAACAGACTAGGAGTTGAGGCTTGCAAAGCATTTGGGTCAGATCAGTTAGGCACATGAGAATAATGTTATTCTACTTTAGGAGTAGTGAGAGGCCACTTAAAGGGAGTGACATGATCAGATTTCTCTTTTAAAAGTACCACTCTGGTTACAGCGTGAGGAAAAGACTGAAATAGGGAGACAGTGAGTGAGGCAAATTGATAGGCTGTCCAAGCCAGAGGTGAGAGTGGAGAGAGAGACACAGGAGGATTAGATGTATTTAGATGAAAGGATATGGGGGAGTGAGGGGAGTTATCAAACTGATACCAAGGTTTTCTGGCTTGACTACCTGGGTGGATGGGGGCGTCAGACATAGAGATGGGGACACAGGACCAAGAGCCGGATAGGGGAGGTAAGCGATGAGAACAGTTTGTAGATGCTAAGTACACAGTAGGATCAGGCATGTAGGTGACTTGCCCACTGTCATGCACATACCAGGCAGGTCCAGGATTCCAACCAAGGTCATTTTGACCCCAAAGCCTGTCTCCTAATGCCGTGTTCAGTGGTCTCTGCCAGCGAGGAGAACAAAGCCCAATGAAGGAGGGAGATTGTAATGAGTGTGGATGGGGAACAAGGTTGTCAAGGGTGGTGTTCTAGTTACTATTGCTGCATAACAAAACACCAAACACTCACAGGCAGTAAACAACCATTTTATTATGATCAGTGATGCTGTGGATCAGGAATTCAGACAGGTCACAAGAATGGCTTGTCTCTGCTGTATGTTGTCTGGGGCCTCAGCTGGGAAGACTCAGCTGAGGGTGACAACTTCTGAGCACTGAAATGATATAAAAGTTTCTTCATTTATATGTCTAACAATTGATCCTGACTATTGGCTCACACCTTAGCTGGGCTTTCAGCTAGAACTCTTACATGTGTACTTGCCATACGGTCTCTGTGTGTGTGCTAGTGTGGGCTTCCTCATAGCATGGTGAGAAGATTCCAAAAATGAGCATCCCAAGAAAGCAAAGTAGAAGTACAGGGAATTTTTATGTTCTGACCTCAGAAGTCACATCACATCATTTGCGTTGTACTCATAAACCTGCCCAGATTCAGGAAGGAGGGAACAATTGCCCACTTCTCCGTGGGAGGAGTGTCAAAGAGCATGCAGGGATATTGCTGCAGTCAGCTCTGGAAAATACAATCCGTCACCATTGAAAAAAGGAGTTGGTTGGGATGATGGAAGCTAAAGGGAGCACTGTGGCCAGTTCCTCCTCAAGGGCCCCACGTGGCATCTCAAGGGAAGAGAGAACTTGTCATGTGACAGAACAATCTAATCCTGTCTCTCACTTCCTCTTTGGTTCTGCCCTTTCTCATCACCAACATATAGTCAGTGCTGGGAAGGAGGCAAGAGTCAGGAGCAGCAGGGAAACTGAGTCACAGAAGACAGTGTCTGGCACGGGGCCCACAGAAGGAAAGAGCTCACAGCTGAGAGGCTCTGGACACAATCTTGTGTGCTGGCTGTTGCTACTCAGAAGGAAAGAGGAGAATTCTTGATGTGGGAGTTTCTCCTGCTCATCCACTCCCCTCTGCCCAGAGGTGGACCCAGACTGGGGTACACAGAAGAAACCACCCCTCCTTCCGGCTATGACTCAGGGTGTGTTACTCTCCCTGCAGGATGAACATGCTAAGGCCCCTCAACACACACACACAGGCCTCCTCCATCGTCTAAAACAGAAGCCATTCTCGCCCTCCAAAGACCTAACTCCCTGCTCACCCAAAGCCACTTCCCCCACAGGTGAACTCTCAAAGCCAGGGGCGAATATCAGTCACAGCTCATTTTACCACTGACACGTCTGGAGTGGGGAGAACAGGATCCCATTCCCCTGAGGCCCCATTCACAGGAGCCCTCTTCCTGAACAGCTGTGCAGTTCATCAGAGCCCAGTTGTTGGACTGTTACAGAAGACTGAACACACCCTCCAGTATGGCAAACTATGTCCCTGGGGCTCCTGGATGAGGCAGGGCCACCAACGCCCTTGAGATGGAGTGGGGGGCCCAGGGGACAGAGCCTAGCCACTTAGGGGATCTGCCAGGGCCTCTCTAAGCATCTTGGAACCCTTATAACAGTAATTTCTTAGCTTATGTCTGATTCTTATTTCACAATCTAGAAGCAGGAACTGTCAAAATCCCTTAATCTTTCCTCCCATCATAGTCATTTCCTCTTATATCAGGGAGATAAGGCTCTACCTCTCATCACAGAGTGCAGAGTCTCGGGTCTCTCCAGAACAACGTTCAGACAGAGCAGGCTCCAGGGGCCCCCATGATGCCCATCCCTGCCTCCCTGCCCCACCTGCCTCTACCATCTCTGCTGCTGCCTTTCCTGCTGGGACTCACAGGTGAGCACCACGCCCCTGGGTACCACTGTGCAGGGACGCTCGCCTGAGTTTGATGGTGGTATTGTTTCTCCATTGGCAGTGGGTGGGTGGATCTCTGTTCCAGGGCCTCTTTCTTTGCTGCCTCTTCCTATTTAAGACAGTTCTCTTAATGCTTTCTTTTATAAGAAGGATCTCCCAAACAAATCCCCCCAGCATTCTCACTACTTGGAGGGGTCCTTTCCTCTCCCACCCAGGTCCAGATGGGGTTTACTCCCCTTGTTATTCCTCAGTGACAGGGGTTCCCAGCCCCGCCTCACCCCCACACCCCTGACACCCTGTGAAGTCCCCAGGACCTAGGGCTTGACCTGCAGGACGTGATGCCGTCCTGAGGGAGGAGGTGGAGGTGCAGCATCTGACCCCTCTGTCCTGCTGAAGACCACAGACCAGGGAGGCAGGGCCGCCCTAATAAAGATGGATATAGATATATGGATAGATTAGATGATAGAGATAGATAGATAGATAGATAGATAGATACATACATACATACATACATACATAGACAGATAGATGATAGATCACAAATACTAGATATGTAATGTAGAACTACTAGAAAAATTGCTAAGCAGTGCTTCTTACACTATTAAATCTCCCAGAATCTTCAGCATCCTAGGATTGTATTCTTGATGTGGGAGTTTCTCCTGCCTGTCCTCCCTTCTCCCCAGAGCTGACCCCAGATCCAGGCAGACAAGTAAGGCACCTCTCCTCCTCCCAGCAGTGTTAACATCTCAATTGAGAGAACATCTAGTAAACTGGATAAAAGCACAGCTATTTTTTGAAACAGACCTGCCAGGGTTCAAATCCAATTTCCATCACAAACAGCCTGTTTGACTTTGGACAAGTTACTAAATGTCTCTGTATCTCCATTTTATTGTCTCTAAAATGGGGACAAATAACCATGCCTTCCTAATAGGGTTGTGGTGAACACTAAATGAGTTAACATATTTAAGCGTTTACGGTGATGTTGGCACACAGAAGCTTCTATGGAAGCTCTGGTTGTTATACCCTTCCAGGGTTCAGTAGATGCAAATATGAACACGTAAAAATGGCCCCACTGATTCTGCTCATTACAGCCCTCACCCTGTGTCCTTGAAAAGCCTGTCCGTTTAAAACTCACAGCAGTCATGGATAAAGGGAATGATGCGTCGTGCTTGACAGAAGAGGAAACTGAAAGCAGAGGAAGGGAATGGCCTTTGCAGAATCACCAGGGTTGTCAGTGCTGGAGCCGGGCCTGAACCCAGGTCAGCCTGATGCCCAGGACAGGACCTCCCACCAGACTCCAGGTCAACAGAGGGAAGTCCCGCAGCCACAGACCTGAGTGTTTCTCAAAGGTTTTCAGCTTCAGTCTCATAGCAAAACCACAAAAAAAAAGTCTCATTTTCCTATTATTTATGTTGCCTAGATAAGGAAATAGAAGCTCAGAGAGTAAGGGACTTTCTCAGGGTCAAACATCACGCGAGACTTAGAGGAGCATTCGAGCCCAGGACGAACGGGTCCACAAGCCCTTCTTTCACCCCTTCACTGTGCTGCTTCCATCTATTTTGAGTTTTTAACAGAAATAGGATAATACTGAATATCGTGCTCTGTTATTCGCTCTTCCAGTAATAACACATTGGAGACCTTTTCCATGCTGACATATGTGTCTACATCAATGTCAATACATCCCCAACATATGCTTATGCATTATTATTTTTAATAGTCACGCAATTTTCTGTTGCGTGGGTCTACCATCACTTATTTAACTAACTCCTTTTTCTTGGACATGAGCCTGCATCAAACTTCTCTATATTGTAAATGTGTCATGATTACAATTCCTTTACAAAATATGTTCACCCCCCTCTGATTGTTTCATCTGAATAAGACACTAGAAGAGGAATTGCTAGGTCAAAGGGTATAAGTGCATTATGAAGATTTTTAAAATATAGACTCAAAATAGCAATACATTCTTTTAACACATCAACTCAGAAGCAGCAATGGATAGGGGACATTTTGAATATTTGTGACCAGAGTAGATTTGGTTAGTCGTTCCCCTCCTCTTGTTAAACTCTGGGTTTATCGAGTGTGTACATACCACAGGGTCATGACTATGATGTCATATTGCCATCTGGAAATGTTGTGTCAATTTAAATTCCCAACAGCAGTATATGGAAGTGCTGCCTAGCCACATCCTTGGGAACACTGAAAATGGCAGTCTTTTTCATCTTTGCCAAGCTAATATTCTGAAAATTGTGTCTCTTCTTAGCTTACAGAAGGGAGAAATATTTCATTTTTCCTTTTATTACATTAGAGGCTTGTCGTCCAATAACCCAACCAAGGAAGAAATATGCAAGTAGAGAATAGGGGTCCCCATTCCCATATCCCACTCCAGGAGGCAGCCACTTTTTAAGAGTTTAGTTTGTTTTCTTCCAAACAGCTTTCTGCCACAGATGTAAAATGTCACCTTCATCATCGAGTAATTCTGCAGATTTCCTTGGGTCCAATTTTAGGCTCTCTCTTCTGTTTCGCTCACCCTTCTATCTCTCTTGGTAACAACAGGCCTGTATTACTGTAGACTGAAAATGTCCTTTAACATTGAACATACTGACACCTGCGCTCATTTTTTTAAAACTTTTCCAGCTCTTTAGCATCTTACTTCCATTTTAAATGTCCATTGCACCAGTTGACTGAGGTTGTTGAATGTCTTTCATAGATTTGTTTCTTCTCCTGTGACTTCTCTGTCCACGCTCTTAGCAAGGGCTGTCTGTCTGTCTGTCTGTCTTGTCTCTGTGTCTCTCTCAGCACCCAGTCCAGCAATTTGCCCATCCCAGAAGCTAACACATGATGTGGAAAGAAAGAATTAATGGGACTTCAACTTCAATCTGGCCTCGGGCACCTGGACCCCAACATCAGCCCCTGCTGGGCCAGGGCGGGGGACTTAGAGCTGACTTGTGTTTCCCTCCAGGAGTGGCAGGTGAGGATGCACTGCAGGTAATTCAGCCTAAGAAGCCAGTGTCAGTGGCAGCTGGAGAAACGGCCACCCTGCAGTGCTCTATGACTTCCCTGCTCCCCGTGGGGACCGTCCGGTGGTTCAGGGGAACAGGGCCAGGCCGAGAATTAATCTACAGTTTCAAAGGAGGCCACTTCCCCCGAGTAACAAATGTTGCAGACTTCACAAAGAGAAACAACACGAACTTTTCCATCCGCATCAGTAATACCACCCCAGCAGACGCCGGTGTTTACTACTGTGTGAAGTTCCAGAAAGGGAGCCCTGATGACATGGAGGTTAAGTCTGGACCGGGCACCAAGTTGTTTGTGCGTGGTAAGTCCAGATCCCTGAAAATCCAGCCCTCTGTTCTAAGGCAAATCACAAGCCTCAAGCCCTCAGCTCAAGGATTCCCCTTTGTTAGCTCTTGTGTCAAGACTGAGGATAGAAGATGAGGATGGTGAGAAGTTATAGCAAAGGAGCAGGGAGAGATGTAATCCCAGGGCCACATATAAATAGAATCCTAATCCGTTAGAATCTCACAGCTTCCAAATGCCCACAAAATGGACTGGACAGGAGAGTGGGTGAAAGCGCAGACTCCAGGGCCAAATGGCCTGAGTTCAACTTCTAACTGCCATTTACAAGCTGTGTGACCTTAGTGAGTTTCTTAAATTCTCTGTGCCTCAGTTTCCTCTTCTGTAAGATAGGGACAATAATACTACTCACCTAGTGCATTTGTAGTGAGGATTAAAAATAGAAATGAGTTGGGGCTAGCCTGGTGGCGCAAGCGGTTAAGTGCACACGCTTTGCTGCGGCGGCCCGGGGTTTGCCGGTTCGGATCCCAGGCGCGCACCAACGCACCACTTGGCAAGCCAGGCTGTGGCGGCGTCCCATATAAAGTGGAGGAAAATGGGCATGGATGTTAGCCCAGGGCCAGTCTTCCTCAGCAAAGAAAGAGGAGGATTGGCAGATGTTAGCATAGGGCTGATCTTCCTCACAAAAAATTAAAAAAATAAAAATAAAAATGAGCTTATAAATGTAAAACACTTAGAAGAGTGCCTGTAACATAATAATTATTATATTAGTGTACATTGTCAGTATTCAGGTATCAAAACAAATTGACTTACAATCATAATTTTAAAACCATGAAACCATAAATTCACAGAAACAAAGAATGATATAGTTACTGAGGCAGAAAATCATAAAAAATCACATTTTTGATGTGGAATAAGGAATCTTTATGTTTCTTAAATTTTGTCCTTGCTCTGTAAGTCCTGCATATTCTTGGATGTGGTCCTGGCTGATAGAATAATAACTAAAAACAAAGCCTGCAAGATACTAAAGAGCATCCATTAAAGGGAAGCTGGGAAACAGAGCAGTTAGTTCAGGCCTGTTTGTATTGATGAAGTAATGATTATAATGTTTTTCTGTAAAAAATGAGCATGATAATTTACTCTAACAGAACTATGGAAACATACATCAATAGAATTCTTGAATCTTTAAAATTTTAGCAACTTAGAGGCTGGCCCCATGGCATAGTGGTTAAGTTCGGCACACTCTGCTTCCGCGGCCTAGGTTCATGGATTCGGATCCTGGGCATGGACCTACACCACTCATCAGCTGTGCTGAGGTGATGACCAACATACAAAATAGAGGAAAACTGGACAGATGTTAGCTCAGGGCAAATCTTCCTCATCAAAAAAAAAATTAGCAACTTAGGACCATGGGAAAACAGACAATGATAGGCAGTTTTGGGGGGCAAAGAGAAGGTCATATGATCTTCAAGAACTGAAAATAAAAATCAAGTTGTACGTGAACCATTGGAATGTAATCAGTATGAGATAACTAAGGGCAACATTGGACACCAGACAACAAGGAGTCGTGCCTTCAAAATTCTTAGAGAAAATGATTTCCAATCTAAAATTCTATATCCAGCCAGTGTTTCAAGTTTGTAAGATCACCAAGAACTACCTTTCATGCACACTTTTTGCTTTACCAAAATAGGGGTTAAACAAGGAAAAAGTAAGACTAGGAACCAGAAATAGGAGATTAGGGACCCCAAGATAACAGCCATGCAGAAGCCATCAGAATGGCCACTAGGCCATTCCAGAGTAGGAGGACTGAATGCTTTCAGAGGGATATCTCAAAAAGATAAAATTTCTAGAATAATAAATAGTCTTTGAACTCATGACCACCATTTCTAATATTATTTAACATTATGTTGCAGTATTAGCCAATGCTTTTAGAAAAGAGAAAGCAATAAAAAGCATGAGAATTATAAAGGAAATGGGAAAACATTCTCTCTTTGTACATGATATGGCATCTGGGAAGCTTAATAGAATCAACATTAAGCTTTACAAACAATAAGATAATTTAGTAATATAGCAAGCTATAAAAACAATAAACAGAAGTCAATAACCTTCGTATCTACAAACAAAAACCAGTTAGAAGATAAGTGGAAAGCAAGAGCACAAATAAAATAGCAAATTTAAATTAAATTCTTAGATCAATTTCTACCAAAACAGTGACAGGGACTGGATTTAATGCCCACTAAAAATCTAGGCAAACTATATGAAACAATAGTTGACAAGACATTGGATATCAGGCAACAAATGACAGTGATCTCTGAGAGATGAGAAACAAGTGAAGTGAGAAGGAAGATTTCCTCCAGCTTACTCTCTGAGAAAGCTTCCAGGCCACCATGCAGGAAGAGAAAACTCTGGTGGAGCCAGGCGGTCTCCCTGAGTTGATAAGAAGGAGCTGGATGTCCAAGGATGGCATGATGGCTTGAGTTTTCTGAATAGAGCACCAAAGACAGAGCTTCACAGAGAAAGAACTCCAAAGATATTGAGTATTCAACTGAGTATGAAAAGTGTACATATATGTGGACATGCACATACATGAGTGTATGTACATGGCCTCAGGGGAAAAATCCCTGAAGCTCACGCAAGGCCAAGAATACTACCTGCTCCCACCAACCGGAGTGAAAAACCTCATAATTCATGGGGCATCTGGTAGAGTAGGCAGAGGGCTTCTGCTTCAGTAAAGGTAAAAGAATTAGCCCTAGGCCAAGTGATGCTGTGGCCCTGCCTCACAAAGCTTAAATACAACACATGAAAACATCAGACTGTTTTTAGGTAATTTAACCATGTCCCAAAACAAGCTTAAGCACGTTCACAGGAATACAAAACATCCAACACCCAAAAAAGTGAAATTCACAACATCTGGCATGCAATAAAGAATTACCAAGCATGAAAGAACCAGAAAAATACAATTTATAATGAGAAAAATCAATCATTTGAAACCTAAGCAGAAAAGACAAATGATAGAATTAGTACACAAGGGCATTAAAGTTATTATAAGTACACTCTGTGTGTTCAAGTAGCTATGGGAAAGATTGAATATATGAACATGTATAGGCAGAGAAAATATTTTCTAAAGATCTATACTGAACTTTTAGAGATAAAACTGCCATCTCTAGGGTGAAAAATAGACTGGAGGGATCAATGGCAGATAAGACATTGGAAAAAAACATTAGCGAATAAAGATACAGCAACAGAAACTATCCAAAATTAAACACAGAGGGATAAAAGAGTGAAAAAATATAAACAGCATCAGTCAGCTAAGAAAAAACTTCAAGTGGCCTAATAAATGCGTATCAAAGACTCCAAAGGAGAAGGGGACAGAAAGAATATTTGAATTAGTAATGGTTGTATATATCCAGATACGATGAAAACTATGAACCCCTGGATCCGAAAGGCTCAATGAACCCCAGCACAAGAAACATAGATAAAACTACAGCCAGATGCATCATAATCAAATTGCATAAAATCAGTAAAAAAGGAAAGATCTTACAAGCAGCCAGAGGAAAAAGGAAATACTAGATACAAAAGGACTAAGATAATTACGGCAGCAGATTTCTCACTGGAAATGAAGCAAGACAGTGGAGAGACATCTTTAAAGCACTAAAAAAAATAAGAAAATACAACAATCTTAAATATTTATGCACTTAATAAAAGATCTTCAAAATACATGACATAAAAACTCATACAAACACAAGGATAATTAGGCAAACCCACAATTACAGTCTGAGATTTCAACACTCCTCTTTCAATAATTGGCAAAACAAGTAGGCAGAAAATCAAAAGGATCTAGAAGACTTGATCAGCACTATCAACGTATTTAGACTAACTGACATTTATAGAACACTACTCCCCAAAACAGCAAAATAAACATACTTCTCAAGTGCAAAGGGAACATTTACCGAGACACATTGTATTATGGAGGCATAAATTAAGTCTCAGTAAATTTAAAATGAGTCAAGTCATACAAAATGTGTTCTCTGACCGCTGTAATTAGATTAATATTAACAAAAGGATTTCTGGAAAATCTCCATTTGGAAATGAAATGATATGCTTCTGAATAACACGTTATCAAAGGAGAAATAAAGGGAAAATTAGAGAGTATTTTAAACTGAATGAACATGAAAGCAAAACATACAAAATTTGTGGGATTCAGCCAAGATAGTACTTAGTGGGAATTTATGGCACTAAATGACTACATTAAGACCGAAGAAAAGTTTCAACTCAGTCACCTAAAAATTACAAAAAGAAGAATGAGTGAAACTCAAAGTAAGTAGAAGAAAGGAAATAATAACAGAGCAGAAAGAAGAAAGAAGAAACAGAAAACTACAGAGAAAAATCAATGAAACCAAAAGCTGGTTCTTTGAGAAAATCAATAAAATCGATACACTCCTAGCCACACAGTCAGTTAGGAAAAAAAGAGAGAGAACGCAAACTACCAACGCCAGAAGGAAAGAGGTGACATCACTGCAGACTCCACAGATCAAAAGATTATCACAGAACTTCATGAAAAACTTTATACCAAAAAACTCAACAACTTAGATGAAATGGACAAACTCTTTGAAAGACACAGACTACCAAAGTTCACTCAAGAAGAAGCAAATAGCCTGATTATCTCTATATTTATTAAAGAAACGGAATTTGTAGTTTAAAAAGTCCCCCACAAACAATAGTCTAGGCCCAGATGACTTCACTGAGGAATTCTACCAAACATTTAAGGAAGAAATAATAACAATTCTACACAAACACTGCCAGAAAACTGAAGCGGAGGTAATGTTCCCCAACACTCTTTAAGGCCAGCATTACTGTGATACTAAAAGCAGATGAAGAAACTGTAGACCAATATCCCTCATGAACACAGAATTATTATAAAGCTACAATAATCATACAGTGTAGTATTGGCATGAAGGTAGACAAATAGATCAATGGAACAGAAAAGAGATTCCAGAAATAAATCCATACATGCAGTCAACTGATTTCTTAAAAAAAAAAAAAAGTGTAAAGATAACTTGGTAAAGAAAGGAGAGTCTTTTCAACAATGGTGCTGGATCAGTTGGAGCATTAGTAGGCAGACCAATAGAACGGAATAAAAA